AACCAATGATTGTAACGCACTAAGTAATCTAAGAGCTCAGATGGGATCTGAGCTGGTATTTGGCAGCACTGAAATTTTATCAGGTTGAAGCTCAGGTAGAGATTGCACTGGGGCATTTGAGGGCAGAAAGCTTCACTGGCAGCAGAATCAGAAAATTTTGATTTTGTGATAGCTGGGAAATGAGAGATGGGAACAGACCACTTTGGTACATGTTCCACTCTGATTGCAAAACAGGCATCTTGAAATAAGGGATCTGCTTCACAAAGATTACTGGAAACTTTTTGGAACTAGAAAACAGTTGAGATAGATGAAGAAATGAAATTAAACACCCCTGGGAAATTGTGCTTTTCACTCTCCCTTTTTATTTTTTCCAAAAATTGTTCCATTTCATAGAAATGTTTATGATTTTGTGGAGGGGGGTGGAAGGGAGACTGTTTTTCCTTGGCAATTTGCAACAACGTTTTTTCTCAGCAACTTTAATTACAATCAGCTGAGTTTGGGCTTGAGTTTACTCAAACATGCAGCCGCATTTTTTAATGATGTTTGCCAGGTTTCCAGTACTGCAATACACAAATTTCTTCAAAGGTTAAAATCTGCATTAAACACAGGCACAGTTTGAAATAAGTGTTTTTGAAAGAGAAAGAGACATATTCAGGGAGATCTCACACACAGAGAAACATCTAAGAAACCTATGTTTTAAGATGATCCCAGAATTATTGAGAAATAAGGACTCTAAACACAATGCTTCAACCGCTAATAATAATTTTTGTGTTAAAAAATTTACAATACAAAATACAGTGGGAACAATGCTCAGAGTAGTATTCATATTATACGCAGTAACTTCTGTAACTGTAAGGCAACTTGTGCATCTGTAAGACTGCAGGAAATATGAAGTCTTGAAGACAGTCATCTACAGAGTCCAAGAGAACCCCAGCCAAACTGTTAGTGGGATATAGGCTCCCTGACGACCTATACACTTTAAAAATATGCAAAAGGCCTTGAGATCCTCTGAATGGATCTTTTTATTTCTCTGAAAAGACTCCCTGCAAGTAACTCTGATGTGCAACTAGCCAGGCAAGGCGTCTCACTTAAAACCCAGACTGTGCCACGTTGCCTTGCCCCGTGTCTTGCTTTGTGGTCTGGATGCAATCTCAGTAAAACCAGTGGAACCACAGAAAATAAGAACTGATACCAAAATGTGGAAGGGGCAGCTGTATCTAGCTGAGCCACTGATGGTAACATTCCTACCCATCTAAAATGCACTGAGAGGTGCTACTTGTGCTCTGCTATCAGGTATCTAAGAGGCTGCTGCACCATGTAATACGAGTGTCCCTTGGCAATATCCTTTCCCTAACAATTGCCAAAAAAAAGGAAAAAAGGAGGAAATTGTCCCATGAGGGTCAATACCAAAGTCAGACCTTTTTGCAGGCTTGGCCCATTGACAAGGCTCCCAGATGGCCAAGTATCTCATCTGTCCATCTGAAACACTTGCTATTTCAGCAACAGCCAAGAGCTGTATGCTTCAAAATGAAGCCGAAGGTACAAGTCAGGACACTGTCTGTCAGCGGCACAGTTGTTCTGGCTATTTTGTTTGAGTTGTTTTCCTAGGATAAACGTATGTTGCCTCAACGTCACGGCACCCATGTTTTGCCAGGGCTGCGTGCACGCACAGCGAGGGGCATGTGCTTCTCTCAGCCAGAGAGGTATTCCTCCCCTCACTGTCTCTGTCTCGTTCTATTTAGCTTTTAAGCCCTGTTTGCTCACATTGCTAGTCAAAACAGGGCTTTATTTTTCTTCTCTAGGATGTGCAGGGCTAGTGAAAGCAGTCAGAAGCAAGCTCTCCTCCTTCCCCAACATCAATACCCTCCTTGCCAACAATAATTATTCCACACAGGGAATTTTTCTCTTATCTGCTGGTGCATGTTGGGGGGAGTGGTGTTAGTGATGGAATATGCCACCTCTTGATGTTTTCTGGGTTTTCTTAAATGCCACATTTTGAGCTAAGAGATTAGGAGAAGGATTCTTTGCATTTGTCTGCAAGTCTACTGGCACCTGCCCTTTCAAGCATGTGGCCTGGGTCTGGCAGAGACCTTGCAGCCTAATTTTTTTGCATATTGGCTGCCTTTTTTTTACACGCATACCACCCTTTAACTCCCAAAGGGGTATTTCTTCTTAATCACCGAGTGAAGTTTCAACTTCTGATACAGAAATGCTTTTGTTTACACTAGCCCAGTAACCAGGACAGGAGCCCTAACAGAACTACTCAGCAGAAAACATTCTCAGTAGCTCTGTCTTTACCTGCAATGTAACCTTGGAGTTGTGATTTGGTACATTTACTGGCTTCAACCGTTGCTCAGAAGTGCTCAGAAGATATAAGATTAGGCAGCTGATGCTATTGGGAAGAAAGAGGGCTTTCTTTCCCTTCCCTTGTTCCCCAGATGTCTGTCTCCTCCCCTTAATCTGTGTGTTACCTCCCTTGGGTGACAAAAGATCTCCTTCAAGATGAATGCATCCCTAGCTTTCATGGGGAACTTGAAGGAACTTTTATAAAGGACTTACAGGGAGACTTGGCCCAGACTAGAAGCCTTTATTAATTTAAATTGATTTTACCAAATTCTAGGGGTTTTGGAAACTAAATTAAGTTTCTAAATTCCTTTGCAAATACAGTATCAATGGGCAATTCAGTCACACCTACCAGCTCATCAGGAACCAAAATTCTTACCTGTGGAGCAATCTCCATAAAGCTTATTCAGCTTTACTGCCCCTTCTGCAAGGTTGCCAGTCTAACCACTTCATCAACAGCACTGCCAGTTCAGCATCGTCCATGTTAATGGGGCTGTCTCTCTTCAGAGATAAAGCAGGATGGCTAGGTGTGTGGTTGTAAAGAATACAAGTTTCTCCTGAGATCCAGAAGGTTTCTGAGTTATATGTAACCTCTTATTCTCTTCGGTATATCAACCCTGCTTCAGCTTTCTGTCATGGTTATTTTCTTTCTTATAGTTCTGGGTTTTTCTCCAGCTGATCAATTATAGATTGAACAGGGAGGCTGCAGACAATGTACAGAATAGTCTGCTCACTTCACTGACGGCTGAAGCAGAGCAGGAATTTGCTGTGCTATGCTTCTGCTGGGGTTTTGGAACCTGAGCAGAAATTAAAACTCAGTCCTACCGTGGGGAGCTTTGTGTCTGGCTGGGCACAACCCTGAGAGATAAACAGTTTATAACAGTGAGGATAGTGGCGATAATGAAGTTCATGCTGACCGGTGGGGACAATGGCAAACGTTCATCCTTGTGCGAGAACTACCAGCACTGTTGCTTTCCCCATTGATGTTACATACCCCAGTGTAGATGCACACCACCCTCACAGACTAGTGCCTCCCTCAGACCTCAGTGGTAGATGGGACAAGGGTAGCAGATGATCTCCCCTTTCTCCTGCCATGCATGGGGGGCTGTTGGGAGATCCTTGGTTCATAACAAATGTCAGTTATGATTGATGGTGGGCTCATGCTTCCTTGGTGTAACATTCAAATTAGGTAGCACTGGCAATTCCCTCTAGTCATCTCTGCCCCTTAGCAATGCTCCTTCCCTTCAGCACAATGGGTAAATGTGCCTTGCTTTGATTTGGCTGTGGGGCAGAGATCCAAGGGAGAGCTTTGCCTTATTTTGCCTCTGCTCAGGAGTGGTGGCATTAATTTGCTGCCTGGTCGCTCCTCTGAGCCCTTTCCTCTACCAAGAAGGGTCCCCCACCCTCTCCCCAGCTACATTCGGAAAGCAAAGCTTGTTCATAGCAGATTTGTAACTAAATCCAAACTGATGCCCTTCTGGCTCTTGAACCCCTTCTCCACTCTCTTAGTCCAAGGTTTGTGTACATAGGCTGGCTTGGCCCTGGGTAAATACAGCAACTTCGTATTTTCTTGCTGCTCTCAGGTCAAGAAAGCAAGGCAGGAAAGGCATAATAACATGTTTCTCTCATCTCCTTCACCAGTATCAGAACATTTTGCAAGCACTTACCTGTTACACAATAAGCCACTGACATCCACTGTGTCTGTTTTTTGTTCCCCCTCCCTCACCCCAAGTTCTCTCAGCTCATTAAAATCTTCAACTCGCTGGGTCCTGAGAAGTTCCCCCTCGTGGAGCAAACATTCTTCCCAAGCCATAAGCAGATGGTGAGTGCCTTTGCTTTAATTTGGTGCTAGCATGGATGGTGGGGAAGAAACAAATGTGAGTTGGGTACAAGAGATGGTGGTGGGAATGCTGGGAAGAGTCTCAATTTTATTTACAGAGAATTACTAGTTAAAAAGCAACATGCAAAAAGCACTGCTGGGAATCTCTTTCCTTTCTTGCCCAGCCCTCCCCCAGGTCACGTATGGACCCTGAAAAAGTAAACAATGAAAAGAGACTCAAAACCAAAGCAAAAATCCATTGTAAAATCTAGTCAACAAAAGCTCATCCCTTAGAGCAAGGAATCACTTTATTCAGATAAAATGGATTCTTTTCCCCTCCTGGAATTACTTAAAATACACTGACAATCTGGGACATGGGCCATAAGAGATGTTTGTTTCACAATATCAGCTTGCTTGGTCTGTCACGTGGTTGCCATCCACGAAACGTTTATCAGCCTTACTAGGTATTCAAAGTAAATTTGAGTTCTTGAAAAAGAGTTTGTTTCAGCTTGTAATGTTTCCTTTGCACAATGGCTCTGGGGTCTAGTCTTCCTGTCAACAACTAAACCCTCAGTGCCCTGTGTGGCTTCTGGGCACTGCACCAAACTCTTAGGGCACCTTCCAAAGAGACCTTTATAGGTGCCTTTAGTCCTGGAGAATATGGCAAATGAGTGCCTTTGTTTAAAACTGTTCATGTCTTTCGTTTTCCCTGAGCTAAAAGGATGATTAGTCCTTCATGAATTTTTGCTCCCAACTTCTATCTATGAATTAGCATCTTATCTGGCTGAGGCTTTGATGAGACCCTGTGTGAACCATGACCCCTTGTGTGAGCCACCGGGGCATTGGCAGCCAGAAGATTAGGGTTGTTGAGATGTCAAACTAGGGCTCAAAAACATTCAAACCCCTCTTTTCTCAGACACTTGTTGCAACACTGTGGGCCAACCACAATGCATAATAGGGTGTAGGTACCTGATGATGGATATAGTCACCTAATGGGAGCCTCAAAATTCAAAAGGAAATCTCATTTAGATTCTTGCGAAAAATCCCACGAGTGCTCACTAGGTACCAGAATACCTTGAAATGCTGGTCCTTCATCCCTCTGTTCCAATATTATGTTCTCTGCCTGTGCTGTATGGACAACAGCACTTCCACAATTCACTGGCACGTCATGAAGGTAAGTACAGCCACGAGTGCTGTGAAGCACTTAGGTAACGCAGTGTAAGAGTTGTATCATCATTTAAGACATAAAGAAATGGATAGTCCTTAAACACTATGTGAGTTTGTTGCACACTTTTAAGACAAACCAGTTGAACACTCTGTTGCATTTAATTCGCACTGGTTTATAAAGAGGGTTTTGTGACACACGTAACGCTTCAGGACAGTTGTGACTTTGTCTGACCATCACTTCAGGAACGGTACTTTTGCAAGACCTGATTAAGGTTTTCATTGCAAATACATTAACTAGCACTTTTAGTGTTATTTTCTTGTCTGCAAATCTGATTCTTGATTCCTCAGCAGGTAAATGCATTTGTTACCAGTATAGTAGTTTGGTTTAGCAGAGAACTGTTCTTAATTTCACATATTTATCATCTTTATAACTGATCACCTACTTGGAGATGCAATTACTTACTTCCAAAACAATACAGGAACCTTTTTAAACTGTAGATAATCTCATCTGAACACAAACACTACTGTTGATGTGCAAGCTTGAGTAATCTGGTTTAAATCAGTCACTTTCCAAACACTTACACAAGCAACAATGCACTTGGGCAAATTCAGGCCAGCCCTTTCCAGGTGGGGGGTCTGCCTCACAGAATGAATCTCCATACCTTCTCAAGATCTTTTTTGGGTGCATCTTCCCAGTATCCTAGTGGGCTGTGAGAGGCTGAGGGGGCAAGTGCTTACACCAAGCAAGCTCCATTGCAGCCATTACTCCACCAAGTACTTTTGAAAGTTGCTTGCCCACTGTGCATCACCTTCTCCAGGTGTCAGACAGGAATACAATGATCCCCCTTTTCCACTCTTTTTTCTTCCCTTTCCTGGAGGCATTTTCAAGCTGTACCAGTTAGCACTCGTAAAATACACTGTGGTCCTTTGATGGCTGACCCCCTGGAAGTGTTTATAACTAGTGTTATGGTTTTACCTCTTTGCAATGTGATATACTTTAAGCAATGAAGTCCTCACATATGAGATCCTCATAGTTCTACATCCAAAACATTCCAAAGCTTACTTTCTAAACCTTCAGATTAAACACAGAACAGACTTTGAAATCTGTTTCATTCTTTCATCTGTGTAAACAGAGATTTTCCAAAAGTAAAAGTGAGATAAAGGAGATTTCTAAGAGTAGGCCCCACTTTTGTGAGCACTTTAATTAGTTGCAAATGCTTTTCCCGATGCTTCCTTCTCATGACAACAGGGCATTTTTAACCAGCCTTAAACAGTAAGCCTGAAGAGAGGACATAAGGCTCTGACATTTCACAGCAGAAATGATCTGAAAGACGAATCTCTCTTCCCTTTGCCACGGGTATGTACCTTCCAGCCCTCCCCCCACTGATCAGTTTACTGGAAACAAGAGCAATCTGGCAACTGTTCTTCTAAGGCCCTACTGGTGCTACATGACAGCCATAATGACTGCCTTGCTCTGTAGTGACCCCCTATGGCCAGTTAACAAGTGCGATACATTAACTTCAAAAGGGATTTTTCCCCTCTCCTGGGCTTATGACTCCAAAAGCAATTCTTAGAGAGACCAACGTCTTGAAAAGAGGGAGGGACTGCTGGAGGGATCTTTGCCAAAGCACAAGAATTGCCAGAGGTGGAATATCTGCTCTGGGCCCAATAAAACAGTATCAAGAAAGGGAAGGAAATTAATAAATCCACTTGAAAATCCATTTGTGGACATTTTAAGTGGACAGAAACTAATACAAGTGAAGCAGAGACAGAATGTCTGTGATAGAAATAAAACCACTTTACTGTTTAGAATAAAAGGACACTATAAAAAGTGAACATTATGCAACATTACCTTAAAAGACAATATACATTCACTTGAATATAAAATTTATAAATAACATGGAGGAAAACTGTAAACAGTGCTAGAAAATTTAGCAACAAATACATTCCTTCTGGACAAGATTTTTCACACGGGTTTGGTTCCCTCCCCAAGTTTCCATGACTATCAGGAACAGCAGAGTGGCTCTAGGAAAGGAGGACAGTGTCAGAAAGAAATAGAAGCCAATATAGGCAAAGCAGAAGCAAATGCTTAGTGGTATTTTAAGATTTTTCTCAAGACTGGTAGCCCCAAAAGCCATTTATTCAAAAAAAAAAAAAAAAAAGACAAAAAAAACCCTTGCAGTTCCCTAAATTTTGTTCTGCCCTTCTAAGCTATAAAATACATTATAAGTAAGATATATTTTCAGAGACGTCTGAAAGAATGGAAAGTTGTTCCCATGGAGGCCTTTACTTCAAACAGCCTTTACTGTAAAAAAAGCAGAACAGTGTGTTTCCCATCACCATGAGGTAGCATTTCACTCCAGCCAAGTATGAATGGGATACGGTGATATATTTAGGTCTTAGAATAATCCTACCTAAAGGGCCACGTAACTTTTCAAAATAGGGAAATTTAGACCTAAAATGACATTTTTGTCCCATACAGAGGAGGCAGAAGCCTACCACGAGGATTTTATTCAAGGTACTCCATGCACACATCTCCTCCTGCTCTCTACCCCCTCCATTTTGGAAAAGAAAAACTAATCAAATCTTTCTCAAACTTTCAATATATTTTTCATATTGAAAAGTGGAAAATACTCTCGAATAAATAAGGAAAAATATCTATAAATAAGAAAGCAAACAGCAACAGTCTAGAAAAGAGTTACACATTTTTAGAAGTACTTTTAATAATGTTGGTATATCTAAAGCATAGGGGAAGCGGGGGAGAAGCCCCATCCTGTACATGTCCAAAGGTCGTGCTCACATGAGCTGTGCCACCGACAGTTCCTCTGACTGTAGGTTATGGGGTGAAGCGAGGACCATGTCAGAGGTGACAGGAAGATATTTGTGCTGCTGCAAGCCATTGTATGCTCCATAGCTCAACATTTTGGGGAGAACTTCACACCTGCCTCCTCACATCTCCATGCCTGGTGTTCCCACATATTGCATGGGCTGCTGTAACAAGGGAGCGAGTTTTGTCCATTGGCAGGCAGAAGCAACTTAGCAAGACAGCAGAAAGGAGAGCAGATAGAAAGGAAGAAGTCTGAGTCTGATTTAGAGCCTGTTCAATCCATTTAATGGCTCCCCCTCCCACTTCCAGGGAGCCTTCAGTCAGGTCCTTAACGCAAGCAGAAGCTAAAGCTTAGCCCAAGAAACACATGTCCCTGATAGCACGCACAGAAACAAAATTAAAAGCCTCCCAAAAGAAATGTATTTTTACTGGATTCTTCCCCCTCCTTTCGGCTCCTCATTTTTAAAAGCCTTAACAACTGTTTCTTTACACAGCAAGGGGAAAGATTTGCTACCAAACCCCCACCCCTGCCGGTCTAGCTGTCTGCATCTCAAATATTTTACCGTCTGCAACATAAAATGGGAATACACTTCATTTTCTGGTAATGCATCTGCTGTTTTGTTGTTTACAAAGCACATAGCTACATTATATCCTACTTAGGGACACAAGTCCTCATAGTATTAGAATGCAAATATTTTCACAATAATTTGAGTGCAATACTGTGATGTCTCAGCTAGCTAAATGAATCAGTGACAGGTAAAATATGCAGAGCTGCAGTTTAATGAAATTTTTAAATCAACACTTCACTGCATCGAGGGGCATTTTCATTTAGCCTTCCCAAGCCGTGAAAAGTGGCTGCAGCTCAAAGACATCAGCTTTGCGAAGTCGCCTTGAGCTTGAGGAGGGCCATCTCCAGCGATGCCGACTCCACACGATGCCAACAGCGAGGGTGGCGAGGCCGGCTCCACTCTGCCCACAGTGACCCTCAGAGATTTTGTCAGCTGTACACAGTCAAACAGAAGTTGCTCCACTGTGCCCAAAGCCCAACTCCAGACTCTGCCAAAAGGGGCAACATTGTGACCCACCATCTGATCCTACAATGGGTGCTGTGAAGCACCCTACTCTCCCTCATCTCCAACCCATAATTTAGGAGCAGTCACAGGGAAGAGGACTTCTGAAGAGTGTTCCAAGCCTGAATCACAAGAAAATCCAATAGACTTTCAATGTGTTTTGTGCTGTGTTGCCACTCAGAGCAGCTGAAAAAAAAAACCCCACCAAACCAGCAGACCTAGGCACCTCTTACATCAACTCTTTGAAAATACCCTTTAAAGTTCATGTTAAAAATGAAGCTACACACTTTTTGCTGCAACTATTCATCTCGTAAATGGGGCATTTCAGGGGATGTATGTCTGGCAGAGCTCTGGTAGCACACAAGGAACATAAAAACAGATCAGGGCCCATCTCAGACACCCTTTTCTTTCCATTTGGCAAAGAGGTCCCAAACAACTCCCCAGTAATTGAGGTCACTGACTGTAAAAAGCTGTATAGCCCCAAGCTGGAATCACTGCAACACTTTTTTGTGCTGGTGGCAGCTCTGCTTTCTAAGTGGAATGAACTGAAGATACATGGAAACTTAAGATAAATAATCATAATAATACAAAAATGAAGTTAAGCATAATCTTCTCCCTGCCCAAGCCCTCCCCATCCAAAACTCAGTCACCCATTTTGTCAGCACCCCTTCTTCACCATCATTAAAACTTAAAATACTTTTATTTGATAAGAAAAATTATATTATAGTTTTCTTAATAAAAAACAAAATAGAACGAAAAAACTTCTCCAGTCAACAGCAAAGCACAAGACAGTAAGGCTCCTCCTCCCACATCACTGCAGGACATGGTATGAGCACATGCACAGAGCTATGCTTAACAGTGCCTAGGGGGAAACAGAGCACTTGACACAGAAGGAATCCTCTGGGCAGCTGAAATTTTATGATCCCAGCCAGCACTTATTAGGAAACCACTTTTCCTTGCCCAGCCCCCCCACACACATCCTTTCATTATATGAACACACGCAGCTTAGCGTAGCTGCAGGGGAAGAACCGTGGTGCAAGGAGGTACAGAGGAAACAATGACTGTAGCCACTACTGCAGATACACTGGAGCTTCAATATCTTAAAAACAACTCACTGACTCGGAATGTCAATATTTCTGTCTTTAAAACACAATCAAACCGTTCTTTTGTTTATAACACCAAAGAAATTCTACGTCCTGTCAAAAATAGCTTATGTCATTATGTGTATATACATCTTAGTTCAGCAAAACACTATTTTGGCAATAGATTTCTTTTTTTATAGTAAGAGCTCTAGCACGTCTCCCCTTTCCCTCTTCCATGTGATTGATTTACAGTTGGTATTTTTGCATCTGTTTGGTTTAAGGTGTTCACAAGCTGGTTTTGCTGTTGAAGCCAAGCTGCAAAAATTTCAGGGGCCAATGCTGCTCAAAACAGGATGGCACAGCACTTCATCTGGTCTGCTGTAGGTCGATTTACCTCCCTGAACATAGGGGATGGGGCTTTTGTTTTTTAAACAACAACAAAAAATACAAAATACTTTCTTTTTTGTTCTGGGAAAAGCCAGAACTTCAAATATGCTGTTGCATTCACCCTGTGACTGAATTAGCTAGGACAATCAGTCAACGATGTTTTTACCAGATGATGTGGTCAGACACACCAGGTGAATTCTCCCACTGCTGGAGTCAATCACATTGCCAGTCACTCCCATAGAGGAGGATTTCTTTCGGACATCATTTTTTCCAGAGTTTAGGCTGGGTTTCTTTTCAGTTTGTTTCATTTGCCAATCTGATTAATGAAACCTGTTTTCCTTCAAATAGATTTGTCTACATGTTTTCAGCACTTAGTGCATAAGGAGGGGTGACAGGAAGCCAGCGCATAGAAGAATACAGTGCCTAATTGGCATAGTTTTTAGATTTTTGTTTTCCTAAAAAAATAGAGATTATATTGCTACAGCTAATGATACATGTAAGAGAGCAAGAGCTCCATCTTTTTTTTTTTTTTCCTCTTTTTTTTTTCCCTCCCATTTTTCCCTCTGGTGTGCAAAAGTAAGCTCCCAAATGTCGTCCGATCGAAATGAGTGGTATCAAAAAATGGAAAAGATGATTATAAATTCAGTAAGGTAGCACAGACTTTTTTTTTCTTTTCTTTCTTTTTTTTTCCTTTTCTTTTTTAAGTGTTCGAAGTGCTAAAATTTGCATGAAAACAGGCACTAATTTCATTGTCATCATCATGATCTGGTAATAGTTAGTGTCCAAAGGAAGATCAGCCACAAGTAAGGGAGAGGGGAGATAAGGAAGGGAAAGCGTGCTCAGGGATCTGTGGCATTGATTATCGTTTTATCTGGAGGCGCCCATCCTCTATACCAGCTGCAGTATCCTTCCACTCTCTGGATGCAGGCATAGTGCTTCGCTTGGTATCCTGAGTGGCCGAAGTTGGAGAGCATGTCTGTCCAAATGCACTCATTCTTGGAGGTGGCAAAGCAGGGCAAGTAGTAGCAGGGCCTAATCTGCAATTGTAAAGAGCAACCAGGTAAGGCTACATGGAAAAACAACATTATATAAAATGTCTTTTTACCAGAGACAAGGGATTAAAAGTTCGACTCCCTCAAACCTCGCTTACTAACCCAAAATTCAGCCTCAGTTCAGTAGGCACGTAAGGATGTGATTAGCTTCACATACACAGGTAATTCCAGAGCCAAAAGGACTTTTCAGGTGCAGAAAAGTCGAACCTGCGTCTATGTTTTTGCAGGCCTGGGGCCGCGAGCAAAAATCTTAGTGCCAGTGCCAGGCTGTGAGGTTTTAAGCACTCAAAATGTTTACACAGGAAAAAAAGCGGGACACATCTTGCCAAGCCTCTGGTACCTGATTTCATTCACCTGCAAAAGATTCTGCATAGATTCTGAAAGCCTTCCCCAACACTATTATCTCCAACAGGGCATTAAAAAGACATAGACTCTGCATTTTTATTTGACTGTCTCTTCTCTGGTCTCAACACTAAAGCTGACCTTTACTACTTCTCTGTAAAAATTGTTGTCCTCCATTTCTCTTCCTGGCTGTTAATTAGCATCATTGATATTACCACCCAGAGGAAACAGAATTCTAGTGTTTGAATGTCTTAATGCCACCTAATTAGAGACGCACATACCTTGCATCCACAGCCCAAATGATAACGATGATTCAGTCCTTTACGCTGGGACAGAGTCAGCCGGTCCCATTTCTCATACCAGTTGCACAGGCCAGTGTAAACCTTTCCTTCATACACACGGCCTTGAAAACAGAGACATGGTCACAAGTTAGCACTTCTCAGCTCAAGCACTTTTCTCGTTTCCTGAGATTGCTAATGCTCTCAATATGTTTGGCTTCAGTCACTGCTCAGCAACTGCTTTCTTTTTATTAACTGGTTCAGGAATCTCTGGCCAGCAAGATTACTGCACTTCTGTAAGTTAGGAGTGTTGTGCCAGCTAAGCACCAGCAATAACGTGCAGGTGAGTAATGCTGTCAAGCTCCTCTCAACAGAACAAAGTGAATTGACACCTTCACTAGAAACAAGACTTGGCAACTGCCACATCTCTATCTCCTTGCATCCCCCCATCTCAGCAGCCTGCATTTCTCTAGCTCATTCCAAAAGGGTTCTTCCATTTCTGGCACAGCCGAGTAGCAACCAGGTCCCTGTGACAGACATGCCAGCTCAGGTATGAATTGACAGCTGTGGACTGTCATACAGTGTATTTGTATGACATCACTGGGTATAACAGGTACTTGAGGAGAGAAAGGGAAATCTAGAGAGTGAAATGACTCTTAGCATTAAAGAGTACTGGACACCAAAATACTGTCGGCCATCTTAATGCTTAGGAAGCTGCATATAGAGCTGTCTACAGAGCTGTCCATGTCCTTAGCAGATGTATGTACAGAACAGAAGAGGTTTTGATTATGAAGTATATTGTCCTTTACCTGTAATCAGATATTGGTACTTGTTGACCTCCAGCTTGACTCCACAAAGACTCTCAGAGGCTTCTGTGTAGATGTACTGAACGTGTGGCATTATCTGGAAGCCCCTGTACATCTAGGGAAAGAATAAAAATGCTTCAAGTCATCTTAAGATGACAACTTTTCACTTAGATTCTTTACAATCTACGTTCCTAGACTGTAGGGGCAAGCAGTGAGCTTTTAGTGTTTGTAAGGGTGAAGGACTAACGGCGCTAGCTGGACTCTGATGGAAGTCTCCCCACCAGATCTGCTGGTAAAGCAGAATATCCACCTGCTAACAAGCCATTGCAATTCAGCACAGGGACCACTTTTCCCCACTCGCATTAGTTCCAGTGGCACTGAGCAAGCAAAGCGCCAACACTGCAACTCTGCCAACATCCTGAACAATTTTTTCCCTTATATAGCTCATAATTGGGGAGAAATTAAATTAGTTCAAGTTTGGAATCTTTCTCCTTCATGTGATTTAAACAATTTTTTTCGAACTAAGGGATTTTTCTTTTAAACAATGACCCCATTTTCCAGTGTTGCTGCTGTAAGAGTTTCAGACCTTTGGCGCTTAATCTAAGTCATCAAGCCAGCCACCTCCTGATTCTCAAACGCCTAGCATACGCAACTTCTGCTGACCTCAGCAAGGACTTAATGTTTCTCTAACTAAATGAATGCAGAAATACCACCTTCTACCCCATCTCCGAAAGTTAGCCCAGTACTGATGTGCACCATAAAGAAAATATCATGTACACAACTCCTCTACACATTCTCTCCTTTTTCATAGTATTTCTTACAGTTCAGTTTAATTGAAATATGAACTCACAGATATACTGGCAGTCGGATTCAGTCAGAAATTAGCATGTGTCCCTATCTGACCTGACGGCTGCAATTTAGGGAAGAAACTCATGCCCACCTGCTAGTAGCATAATGAAGTCCGTGCATAGCAATGAAACAATCACTGCATGTGTACACTGCACCAAATAAAACATATCCTACTTTTGAAACATTGAGGATGATTTTCCTAAAAATTTCACCTTTAGAATTTGGTTATCTTTCTTAAAGTATTCAGTCTCCCTTTTTTCCACACCAACTGTATAAATGGCCAATGTTTAAAAGTTAAAGGAAAACAATAAGAGTCAGAAAGAATCACAGTTTCATAGCATTTCTCAGCCTATCCTTTTCTCCGTCAGCTTTATTGATAGAGAGCACATTCACATTAACTGTAAATATTAAAGTGAGGCAAAAGAAGAAAAAAAAATCCCAAACAATCCCAGAGCTATAGACACTTGCTGCCATATCACCTAAGCTGTGGTATTCTCCTCCAGGCTGAATTCTATTTCTTGAAGTCCCCTATTATCCCAGGGTATTTCACTATTCCCCTACCTCCTTTAAAAACAACAAACCTTTTTCTTTCTGAAAGAATGTCTGTCGATTTAACAGATTTTATGATAGGCCCAGATACTGCACACAAAAATACAAAAACACTACCCCTAATTCTGCTATGCTGAGCAGTCGAACTATCTTCTGGGCATCCATAGAATGTCTGCGAGGGTTTTTTTTTTTCTCCTTAGTTATATTACCCCATAATCTTATATCAGTATCACAACTTGGTAACAGCACTGCTGCATGCAGTAAAAGACATGCTAAAGGGTTTGCATTTTCCAGCCCTCCTTCTACACCCAGCAAATATGCAAGGAAACCATTTTTTTTAAATTAATCATACTGTATCAACAAAAGCTCACAGATCATGTTTGGAATACACTATTGTGTCGGTAAGTGAGCAAAGTCTTTCAATGAATATGGAAGCACTGAACCTTGTCTAATCTCTATTTTATCCCTGCAATTTTCTTGGTATGGGATGACCTACTCAGACTTTCCAATTCTGCTCAAGATAGCTGGAGAGCTAGGTTCTGGCACGAGCATCCTGTCTGTCCTTGCATTTAGCCCTCAGTACACTTTTCTTCCTCATCTGTAGAACTGCTCCGCCTTGCTTCCCAAGGGTACTGTGAGGAAAGGCACACAGAATAAAGATCATGTGTTCAGACCCCATTCTAGTGGGTGTCACACCAAGAAGCTATGATAACAGTATCTAAGCAGATAAGACTAGCTAAGATAAGAGCTGGGGCTGCCCAGTCTCTCCAAGCAGTGCATTATCTACACTGCAGAGAGCTGTGTATGTGCATGTGCAGTACAACTGATCTGTCACTTAGAGTGAATGAAGTAATGAAGTATCTGTGCTATAAAGTCTACATGTGCAGACACACTTTGAGCCCATTCTCCCCCTTGCAGAAAGGGCTTCAAGCTAGACTAACCACTCCTCTGAGAAGATGCTGAGGCCCTTCCTACAGGACCCTTTACTGTCATCACTCCTTACATCTTCTGCACCATGAAGCACAACACAACTGCCTATGAAGTAACTAGCGATGCTGAGCTGGGGTTTGGTTTTCAACTCCTGGTCCTAATTTCCTGTTCACATTACCATCAGGGACACCACTGTCAGGGTCGCTGAAGGATGCATCTCAGCCTCTCAAAAAGCACTTCAGCTCACCCCTCAGTGACCCTCATCGATGCTAGCAACTGTCATGCTAATTGACCCAGTGCTGGGGGCAGACAGGGCCCGCTTCATCCTCTGATGACTAAAGAAAATTCACCATGACCCTGGTTCTCAGGGGAGGAAGAAGAAAATTTGGCAAGGGAGAAACTTCCTTTGAAAGATGCTCTCTTTCAAAACAAATAAAGCAATACCTTAAGCATTATTTTTGGATACACAAAATATCCTGGAAGTGCTATTAGACCAGTCAGAAGAAAACCAACCATAAAACTAGCCTCTCTCCAACCGCTACCCTTGGAGTCCTCCTGTCACCACAAATGTGTATTTTCAGAAGTGTAATGACAGGGAACAAAGTATTAGCAAGCATCACATGGTGGTGTCTGCTAGTGCCGCTCTATTTCCAGCTGTGTCAGCAATCCCCTTAGCAGTCCCCATACTCCCTAAGAAATACACATGCAAGTTCCTGCTGCATGATTAACTTCACCTTGTGATATGATGTTCCTCCCTCTGTCCCTCCCATGTGAGGTCATACTAGATACCAAGGCTTGGAGTCATCTTGCCTAACCTTCAGCTACCTAAAATTTAGGCACTTTATATCAATTAGGCATGCTCTCTAGTCAAACACCAAGAATAGACTCCCCCAGAACAACTCAGCCCATCCTAAAATAGCCATCTACAACTGGTGGGCTGAATTACACTTTGGTGGTTCTTGTCTCTCTCCATTGACAATCAAGAGAGCAGGAAAGACTCAACACCTCATTTTAGTCTGTCTAAAATTAAAGTAAATTAATCCCACTACACTTCTTTCCTCTTGGGACTATCACATTTCAACCCTTAGACTCATTTTACAGATTAAGAACAAGCCAAGGAAAGCCTCCTTGCTTCAGAGCGCTGCCATGGTCAACCAGGACTGTTTGTGCACATGGAGTAGAAATATCTTATCTCCTTGTTTCCTTTGCAGTTTCCTGAAATAGGTTTGGACCATTCTCAGAATGCAGTGCAGCACCACAGAACATGCTGGGGTTAGATGAGTCCTGTGCAGATTTCTGACACGTGATCTTGAAATATTCTTACATTATTTGAGAAAGCAGTGGGGGGAGACAGAGGTTGCTTGAAAAAGCACAAGGCCTTTTCAGACAACAAACCTGAATGCTAGAAAGCCTGGCAGTGTTCTGCGCCTGCGGACTGATCTTGTGCTCCAGTCCAGGCCCCAAGCTGGTTTAGTTATGAAATTCAGCAATGAGTTCAGGAGTGTTAGTGAGAGCAAGAATCTGCCACAGCAAACTCCAAGGAATCCATGAAAGAAATACAAAGATTGATTGTTGCCTTTTAAGGCTCTCAAGGCTTTTCACAGGCAATTCACTACACACTGATAGACTAAATGGCTTGTTTATTTTTCATCTGCAGGTGCAGATGGGTTTATAGGTGGCCAAAAAACACTGACATGTTAGTTTTATCTTCAGAGTTGTTCCCATGCAGCTGTGCAGAGCCATAGGCCTCCTCAGAAAAAAAGGAGGACACTCAGCTTTCATTGGGGCAAGCAAGGGAGAGATTTGCTGCGTCACACTGAGCTGCCCCACTGTATGGAGCTGAATCCCTTTTTATACTGAAGTCTCTAATCTCAGCAGAAAGACAGTAGGGTTTCAAAGAAGACACTTGGTTTGTTTGTTTATCAAGAACTATGTCCTCCGGACATTCCAATTCTACTGAGCACTTGACTGCTTCAGGTTCCTTCCTGCCAAAGGTCACAGTTAAATGTACAATGCAACATCTCAGCAGCCCGCCATCTACGTAGCGGGCATAGATGCATGCAATTTCCCCTTTAAAATCACTCTTGCTTTTGTTGGACACGTAACTTCCTAACAAAACACTGTGCAACTTCTCCTGCAAAAAAGCAATTGTTCTCTTGCAGTCTTGGCACAAGCACGTTGCAGATTACTGCAGTAAATACCCTGGCTCTGTGCTGCAGAATAACCCAATGAAAACTGCCAGGACAGGCTCAGGCATCTTATTTGAAGATTGATACAATGCTGTCTATTGGCAGTATACTGGCTGCTGCTCCACTCAACATGCTCTCCTTGCTTGGGCTGATGCTCCTCCCCATGCTAGCAGACACACAGAAGCCTTTTCTGTTCGTAACATTGACACTGCTGGAGGCTGCTAGGTCAGAAGAAGAATGCTTAATGCTGTTCCAGAGATCTCTGACACTGCAGCTCACTGGCTGACAGTGGGGCAGGCTGCATCATTAGTTAGGAGAGAGACTAGTGTTATGGTTGGTAAAGGGTAGCAATTCATTTTGGGGACTACTGTTATTCTAGATCACCACTGGACCCTGTTCATGGTCATATATTAGACAGGAAGTACCAAACTCTTGGAACGGAGTAGGAGGGGAAGTAGTTGTCCTGGACAGACCAGGATGAAATCAGAAAAATAAAAGTTGATGAAGCCACTGCAGCATGTGGGTGTTGAGTAGTTTTGTCAAGTGGGGTACACTTGCTGAGCTGAAGAGCGATACAACTGGACAAGAACAGCACAGAGTGCTGCAAGCCTGATGAGGCCAGGGACAGCCATGAGAAAAATAAACAAATAAAAATTAAAAAAAAAAAAAAAGAGTGGCAGCATTGTCTCACTGTTGCCAACATAACCAGTTGCCTTTTTTTACAAATACAAGTTAATCAACAAATAGGTATTTCCTTTTGAAACTTAAGAAGAAATTTTTACGATTAAGGAAATTAGTAAGCCCAGCACCTCATGCCCTCTTATTCAAAGTGCAGTGCCAGGACCAGATTTGGCTACGTGTGCGGTTTTGCGACAGCTTATGAAACAGGCTTTGCATCTCCTCCTCCCAGCTTTCGTGCTTAGCTATAAACTGCCTTATAAAGAGAGTTACTGTTACGAGGCGGGCAAGTGACTGCTTTTTTTCTGAACTTTTACTTTGTCTAATATGTTTCAGATTTCTGCAGTCTCTGCCAAGCTTTTCCATTCCCCCCCCTTTTTTTTTTTTTTAAAGACATAAACCAGTCTTATGACTGGAATGGCACAGCCAAGAAAAACAATCTGGGGCTGATTTTTAGCATTACATAACAAGGGGTCAGTTTAAGAAAAAAAAAAAAACTAAGTCCAAAGCAGCAGGTTGACTGCAGTTTGTGCAGCATAGAGCTCTGAAGAGGGGAACTAGAGAAACCAAGCAACTGGTGTAGGAGATCTACCTCTTTCCATCTCCAAATCAATACTTTACAGCTCTTTTGAGCTGATGATATTTGAAAGCTACAGTGTTTGGTTTAGCCTTATATAGAGACTTCACTATACCAGTTTCGTTTGCTCTGTACGTGGAAAAAAAATGCCATCATTCTTACTGGTGGTCACAAAGAATGCAAGGAAAGAAGATACGAAACTCTACTCTCCCAAGGCTGGAAGACCCCTACCACCACCACATCTTGAATTTAATAAGAGTGCTACATGGAAGAGCTTGCATTTCCACTGTCTAACACTATGTTGAACACAAACAGGACTCTAGCATGTGCAGAAGCCCATCTGGCATCTTTTACTACCAGAAATTTTAAAAATAAAGGAAGAATTCAGATATTCAGCACTATGTCAGGAATGACCTCTTCCTGCTCCTTTCGCCTCTCCAGGAAAGTTTCTACCAATTGCTGATTACCCTCCATTCTGGTTAACCAATACAAAAAGTCAAGGTGCTGTTACTCAAAGTATGCAAACTTTGTTTGTTATTACATGTTAATCATATTCATTATCATACCTACAAGCCTATGTGAAATGTCTGCAAACATACCTTCATCTGCTTGACTGTGTATCGCATCGTTCCAAATGGTCCATCTTTCATGAGCTTCTTCCCCACAACTTTAGCTCGTATCACTGTCATAAGAGAGGAAAAATACAAGTTATAAACAACTTTACACAACATTTAGGCTAGACCCTCCACTTCAAAAAAGCCACTTCGATAAACTATTCCATAAAAAACCCAAAACTCCAGACCAACCTTCCTCCCAATTTATTCTAAATCTCACACACAACAAAGGCATGTAAAATGGGATGCCAAAGCAAGTATTTATTTAGAGGAAAACCAGTTCTATGTGAAGAATAAGAACAAGCATATGTTGAAATCTCACTGAAATCTGCAAAGCAGAGTATAGCTGGGACCAAGACAGGTTAAACTCTTTGCACCAAGCTACTAGGAAAAAGTTCATACTTAATAGCTTAACTCCCAGCTTACGGAATGATCTTCAACAAGATACTACTTTTAAATTGTTCTTTGAGTGCCCAATGCAGCTTCTATTTCCCAATAACCACAACAATACAGTACAGCGCACTGGAATATCCCATATCTGGGGATTTCACTACAGCTGCCACCTTTCAGATACCACAAAACTCCCAAAAAAATGTCTCCCTTGAACAAATGGCTGGTGTGTAAAAACAGATTGTTCAGCAACCATCAAGCCCACAGCGAAAGCTGCCAGGCCAACCAGAAGACACGTGGAAGGCAAACTAAAGCTGACCCATCAGATCTTAGCTACACTGCACTTTGTTTCTTCATGGATACTAAGGGGCAACACGTGTGCACGTGTGCATGCAACATCCAGCCTGACATAGATACCTCCATTGAACTACAGATGCATCACAGCAATGTAACTGAGCCCACGCCATCATAGATAAGAATTCTGAGGTCCCTCAGATGGGTCTAGTGGGTAGTTTACAGTCAGTACTTAGGAGTTCTCCTACTCATCTTTTTGGGGCATTGACAAAAAAACCCTACTGTTCCATAGATTGTCTTTGAAAAAGTTCTGCAATCACCTACTCATCTCAATAGAACAGCAAAGCTTAGTGACAGGTGAGTCATTATTCAACAAAAGTTCACTCCCCTAGAACAACCATATCACATTATACAAGCACCAGAACTAGCTTAATTTTTACAAGGGCTGCAGAAAACGAAATTGAAGACGACCAATCCTGGGAAGAAGAAAATTCTGTACCACAAACACCACTCATACAAACTACAGGACAAAAAAAAAAAAATAAATAAGGAACTCAAAATTCCATCAATCAAAAGAAACATCAAAACTACAATATAACAGTGCAAATCTTACCTAAAATCTTATTCATCAAGCTTCTCATTACAAGGGCTATGAAAATTATTCCAGTAGAATAATTCAAAGAATGCAACATACTCATAACACGATTGACAATATATAGTTACACATAAATCATCCAGAAACCCCTTTTTTGTTGAAGAGGAGATATCAGCTACTTCTGCATAAAGCTTGTATTGGTACACCATTGCAAACAACACACTTCTGCTGAATATACGGCCCAATGGTTCGGTTCCAGACTACTGAAATCCAGCAACTAAAACAGACCACATACATCATTTCCTCTAGCCTATGAAGGTCCTGATCATAACTCCCTGCACAGGACAGAGGTGCTGCTTTCACAGCAACCTTCCGCAGCATTTCACCTGTGTTTTGCTGAACGTATCATATTAACGCTTCACAGAAAACAATTCATTAAAAAGCAGGAAGGCATAGAAGGGAGACAAAGAGGTGGAGGTACTCCTTTACAAGCAGGAAAACCCAACGAGTTATTATTTGCATTACAGCACCATCTAAAAGCAGCAAGAAACTTCAGGGATCCATTTTGCCAGGTATACAGGATGTTAAACAAGCACCTTGTTGCTTCTTCACCTATTTAGGTTTCAAACTGCTGTAGAAGCCCACTAGAAGAAATGGCAAAAAGAGGAGGCTAAGTTTTTGTTCACTACCTAGATCAAATTAATTAGGCAAAAAGCTTGTCCCAGCTTTCTGAATAATCTGAAGAACAGATTTAAAGAAAGAGATAGGTCTGGTTATACACATCAGTTCCTGGAACTTGTTCCACAAGGATGGCGTGAAATGAAGACAAACTCACTCTGCTCTGATTTATATCCTATGCTTCAGCCAGACTTGTCAAATAAATTTTAAACTAGGTAAGACAGTCCTGCTGGCTTTGATTCAAAGGACCAACAAAACCTTCATTCATTGAGTGTAAAACTTCTTTTTTTTTTTTCCCCCAAAAAATTCTATTATCCAATGGCAGTAAAAGCCAGTACAATTTTATTAATTCTTCCATTTAAGTAGTTGTTCAGACTTGGATTTACTCTTCTTCAAAATTTAGTAGCTATATTGAAACATGTCCTTGAAAACTGCAAAATATCTTTAAAGAACTAGGTTCTTCCATTTGATGCCCCCAACCACCAGCGAAGCTACAAACCCCAGACTGCCTAAGGGTCAATGAGAAAGAACACAATTTCTTTAAGGCTTTGTGAATTCCAGGGCACTTCACTAATGCTGAAGTCTATAGCAAAGGGTGTCAAAAGTCTTATCTTCATCTATTGCATATCTGATACACTGAAATTGAAAAACCTGGTGTTTGCCCAACACATCTGAAATCAATAATGAAATCTTGTATCTTATTGACAATGATAAGAAAGATACTAAAAGGCAATATTGCAGAACGCTAGGGTTTCTAAAGCAGAACACAATTAGCATAAAACGTGACAGGCACATTCCCAACTGCTGACAAAATATCTAAAAACCTATTTTCCTCATGTGCTTCACTGCTAGCTTGGCAGCCCTTTAACTTCTAGTTAGAGTAGCACAGCCACTTCAGAAAGAAAACAGCTTTGATTTATGGACTTTCACCATAGGACCAAAGATTCAAAATGTGCATCTAGCACGCAACAGCATCCCATTTTCAACTAATGCTACCCTTGCAAGCAGGTAGAAGGATCTGTATTTTCATATTATTGTTCCCCAGTAAAGTTAGAGAAGAACAACCGTCCTAGCAAATTCACCTAGTAAAAGCAATGAAAATATGTAGTGTAGGCCATCACTTCAAGCCCTTTGTAATTGGGTCAAGCCCTCTGTATCTCAGAGAAGTTGCCTTTATCAAGCAGTAACTTTTCTAGGTAAGTTTCTTCCTTTACCAAAAAGCTAGAAATGAACAAAGAACCCACCCTGCCTCACTTTTCCCTTATTAAAGGAAAACTCAAGCTGTTAGCCAAGGGGCAGAGGATATTCCAACTTAAGTCTACCCTCTGTATTTTGTGAGGCTAAATTCCCACCCCTTGAGGATTAGATGCATCTGGGTAACTGGAGAGAAATGCTGGATGGACAGGACTGCTAAGAGGTTGCTCTTGCGTGTCCAGCTTCATCACCCTAAGCCTCCACACATGACAGACACTTGTAAATCTGCCCAGAACAGAGCTCCAAGCTGCAGATCTGCAGCCACGTGTTTCCCAGTTCCTGTCTTTGCTCCTTCAAACCACCGCTCGCCAGTTATACTGCTAGACCACACTTCACACCTGGTCAGAAGATAAAGAACATTGTTCCTAACTGAGTGGGGGCCATGTACACTTGCCAGAGAAATTTTTCATCCTCTGCAAATTATCAGAAATTTACAGTATTTCTGCTGCAAATTCACTCCATGTTATGTTAACAAAGTCAACTGTTTACTTCTGGAGACTCCTACCCATTGAGCAGAATGAGGTGAAAGGTGCTGTGACTGCTCCCCTGAACTCCTTCCTTCTCCCTGAAGCTCTATTACAGTCCTGCTATTACTGATGGGAAACTTTATCCCACACAAGTGGTCACCAAAATAGCTGCATATTTTTAAACCACAATTCCTTTGAAGTACTGCCTATGCAAATATTCTGAGATGAATGTTTCTCAGTACTTTGGGGTTTCAGGTCAGGTCACTTTGTGGGACTGGAGCAGTTGGCAAGGTCTCATGAGTGATTTGTAATTATTTATGAAAAGTTAAATTAGATGAGGATATAAATCTTGATAAGATAAGCATGGCAGCCATACCATGATTCAAAGAGGAAAAAACATATGCCCTGCCTCTCAACATAGGACATGATTTAAAAAAAAAAATGAGGGAGAGAACAGAGAGAAAGAAAACCAGATATTTAGTTGCTATTCTAAAAAAAAAAAAAAAAGAAAAAAAAAGAAAAGAACAACCTGCTTTTTTTGACGATGCAAGATATACATCTAACAATGTATCGCAAATGATTAATGTATTCATCTCTTTTCTCTTGCTTTTTTTTTTAATGTAAACTATCTTAGTACTTAGGAAGACAGATGGCTCAGATTTGCTACAGGACTCGTATAGTGCAAGCAGCTAATGGTTTGTATTTCACTGGCATCTCATGCATAGTGCAAACTGTTTGCGTGTGTATGTAGACACATAAATACACACAAAACCCACATCTTTTCAAAATGACACTGGATGAGGGCTTAAAGGCAAACAAATAAGAACGGGCATGGGAGAAAAATGCCCTATAAGCACTTTTATTTGCCCAAATGCACACATATCAAACTAAAGGACTGTTTATACCTTACTCTGTGGCAATTTTCTCAAGGATTCATAGGAAAAATTGGCCTAAGGGTAAGATATGAAGCAGAAGAGGACACTGGCTTTACAGCTGAGAGAGCAGAAGGCATCCTTTTCATGAGGCAAGGAGCAGACAAACAAGCCATGACCAATGTGAGGGAAGTGGACATGTGAGATTAAGACAAGCACTTGCCAAGCTGAGGAAACAACATGGTGAAAAGACTTGTAATTACAAAGTCGTTTCATCCAGGCACACATTAGCTACTACATGTGTAGCGGCTCTTTTTCCCAACTGAAAAGCAAAGGCATCAACTGTCTTGGTTCAATCCAGCCTGTGTCCTTTATGGGGGCCAGCCACTAGATGGTGGCACTATCACAAATCTCGCCTTCCGTTAACGAGAGGGCAGTGGTACATGCACAAGCTAACATCCCGAATCCCACCTGCATGCCCAGTTGCACCATGAGAACCAGATGCCTTCATGCAAGTGGGCTCGT